GACCCAATGACCGGTTACTAGTCATTTGGTTCATTCCAAGTCATTACTATTTTTTATTATTATTATTCTTTTATTATTTAAAATAATAAGTTTTTTTTATCAAAATATCTTACTTGCCTTCTATTATCTTTTTATACTTTTTATTGTAGTGATTTTAATCGGTTGGCCTATAATCGGTTAATCGACCCGAACCGAATAAATTTCGGCTAACCGGTTAGGAAATTCCTAATATGTTGACCCGGTATATTCGGTTAAGAATTGGGTAATCGGTTGGCGACATCGAAAATGATATAAAGAGAGAACAAAGATTCCGAAAAGTTCCAAAAGAAAATGAATTGAACATAAAAGATGAGCAAGGATGAGACAAAATTTTGAGCAAAGCTCTGAGAATATTCGAAGATAAAATGGAAAGTAGAGATGGTAATCTCAACCGGTTGAATAAAATAATTCGGTTCAGTTAACCAACTAAATAAATTATTTCATTTTTCACTTTATAATATAAGAGTAAATTGAACAATTCAAATTAAAGCGATTCTATTCTAAATTTCCGACATCCAAAATCCCGACAGTTTATAATCTTAGCAGAAACTTGAATTTTTGCCATTTTATGATTATCATATGATAGTTATGATAAAAATATTATAAAAATATTTTAATAAAAAATATAATAAATATATGATAAACATATATAAAATATATTATTATAATACTTTAAACATATTTTTGTAATTCTGTTAAGTTACTATTAACGCGATTAATACCATATATTTATAATATAATTATAATATAAATATAATCTAATATTATCTAGTAATTAGCTAATAGCAATCTAATAGCAATCTAATAATATAATATTTTAATAATATTTTAATAATATAATAGCAATTAATCTGTTTAAAATAATTAAATAATATTACTAATATCTTAACACTTAACAATATAATAAAAATATTGTTAATAGTATCTTAACAGATTAAAATATTTTTATTATATTTTTATCATATAATAGTTATATAGTTTGACTATCATATGATAATCAAAAAATTCAAGTTTTTGCTAAGATTATTTACTAATAATGCTCATCTTGAGATTTTGCCAGAAGTAAATTAATAATTTATTTTTTAAGAGATATAAAATTGGTTTAGATAATGAATAAGCAGATAGTGGTACCATTCTGAGGAAACAAACATAGCAGTTTAAACATCCCATAGTTCACCTACAGGAAATTTCCTTAACTGCGTAAGGGATGCTTAGGCTGTAGATCAATCTATAATTTGTTCTATATTGTTATTTAGTATCATATATTGTCTTATTTGCATGGCGGCCACACAAAGATAGACATTGTTTATATTTTGAAACTGTATGCATTTTTTTGAGATTCATTTTTAATATCAATAGAAACTAATTAAGTATATTTTTGCGTTAGTTCAAAATTTCTTACAAAACAGTATGCAGTTTACGTGACATTAGAGCAGTGAAGATAAGCGAAGAAAGACCTCTTGATACTGTTCAAATAGCTAATAATATAAGAAAGATAAAAGAAAAGTTCAAACAAAATAAATCTTCATTATATCAAGAATTATTTTCAAACTTAAGAAACATGGATGTTTCAGCACTAACATGGAAGGATTTTTGGCCAATCAAATTATCAGCAATGATTCAATACTAATACAACAGTTGTTTTCTCAATCACAATATAATTTTATGAAACTAAAATATCAAATGACTCCCCCACCTCCCCACGAAAAATATAAAAAAAGTATAGTGAATTTGTAGAAACTTTTAATGAGAATCATCAAATCAAATTAATGCAAAAAATTAAGCATAATGAAACCTAGAAGGAATCAGAAAACCAGCTGACAGTGGTTACAAATGGAATTTTAGATACATTGTAAATATTATTGTGGATTTTGATATTATATATATTTGTTAATTTAAAATTTCTCTATTGGTATTAGAAGAGATACTTAGAACAATCTGGTATTTAGCCTCGAGTTCTCAGAGTCTCTGAGTGAAAGCACCTATGTTAATAATATTATATTGCCTGCTATACAAGCTGTATTAAAGGACCTTCCTTTAGAAAAATTGACCTTTGTCAGTAGTTCTGAACTCCAAAGTAGTGCAAGCGTGAATAGGAAGGGCGGGGTGGTCGAGGAGAAAACCAGATATAATGTTTATAATAAAGCATGATGAAAAAAATTATGAATTACTGCATGCCAAGTGTTTCCGATTAACTTATATAGTGCAAAAGAAACAATATGATGCAGTAAAATTGTGAAGGGAATGTAACGATAAGATATATTAGGCTCATAAGGGTTCAGATCTGACAAGGACAAATTTGAAATTATTGGTGTACAAATAGCAGGAACTACGATATGTTTGAATATTCTTGTTAGAAATAGCACAGACATTCATCATTATTACCATTTATATGAGGCAGAAATACCAGTGCAACAGTCAAGCTCTATTATTATCACAAATTTTGTAGAAGTTCTATTAATGTTGCAAAATATTTTGATAGTTAATATGGCTTTGGTATATAATGCATCAATATCTAAATCAATCAAGTATACAGAAAATAGTTTTATGATATCTTCTCTGTATAGAGAAGAAGGAAATCAAATAAAACAAGAAAGGTAAGTGATATAAGTTCTCTTTTGCATGAAGGCAGGAGTTTAAAGAAGAGAAATAAAGCAATATTTTAGAATACATATCTTTTTTGTATTTTATTTTGTTTTTTATAAATAAAGCTGGTCTTGGTGGCTTAATTTTACATAAGTAATTAGTTTACTTTTGTATGTAATTTCAGAATTTTTTATTGTATTGTTATAATGTAGATGATTTTTTAGCAAAGGCACCTTTCAGACAAAAATTGGAACAAACACAATATTTTTATTTTGAATATATCCACATTTTATGTAAAACAATGACAGATTCACAAACTACAATTGCTTCATTAAAAGAATTAAATTCTAAACTTATACTTAAAGATTACTAAACTTAAAAAGAAGTATGCTAAGATTGAAGCTAAGAATACAAAGTTAAAGCAGATTATAAAAAAGAATACTGAATTTAAGACTAGATTCGAGGAACAAGATAGAAAAAATAAAAGATATTGTATATCTTATCTCTTAAACTGTCTAGCAGACAAATTTGCTTGTTAAAATTTTTTTTACCTAATTTTGTAAAATTATATCTAACTTTATTAGGCAATAGCCCCTTTTTATATACTAGAATGAAAGAATATGGCTTTGTACATTGGCATGTAACTTTGTTTCAAAAGATTAGAAGCATGATAAATGGAAAGTCTACAGACAGCGATTTACTTATTTTTGCGAGTAATACAAATCAAAAAAGGAAATCAAATTTTGTAAATAAACTAAGTGCATAAAAATAGAAGTTTAGGATTAGGATGTTAGGGTTGTAAGCTTTAGCAATAAGTTAGAGTTTCTTATATATAAAATTTCATTCTCATTATTTTTTATTAATTTACCAAGGTTGATTTAAATACTAGTTTCTGAGTATTTTTGCTTTCTTTTTTTTTTTTTTTCTTTTACACATGTTTGGATTCTATGTTGAACTGATCTGAAAAACCTAAAATTTCTGTTCTCTGATTGGCCATTTCCTTTTTAGAAGTTTGTATTACTCATACAAATAAGTGGCTACTATAGACAGTACATAGAGATAGTGCAAATCATATGATTTTATATAAAAACTATCTATCCTAACCACTAACTAAGGGTATAGACATTTATTAGGTGATTTTTTAGGGGGGGGGTTAAAAAAATTAAAATTTTATATATAACACCTGATCAATTGTATATTAAGAGCTAGGGGGAGGGGTAAGTCTCTGATAAAAAAAAATCAGGTGATAAATGTTACTACCCTAACCAATTACGTAATTTTGCACTGTTCTTAAGCACTGTTTGTAGACTTTTTGCATGATAAATATTTTAAATTACATGCAAGTAGTACAATACAAACTTTAAAAAAAAAATTCATAATCATTATCAAAATTCTAAAAGCAAATCAGGTTGAAATTTTTTTTCCACTATATTAAATATGAGTTCATTGCTTTTTCATAAAAATTCTAAAATATATAATAACAAAGAAAGAGAATATATACCAGTTCTAATATCTTGCTAGCATTTCTTAGACAACCCAAAATCTAATAATGAGGACAAGCAAGAAGAAAAAGAGAATACTAGTAGTGTTTGTGAGAAAGTTTATAAACAAAAAACTATGCCAAAATTGTTACTACTATTTACAAATTTTGAGCTACTAGTTTATCAATAGTAACTGTACTAGAGGTTTGTTAATTTGCTCTTACAATATAATATTAGTTTTTCAAAACCAATCAATATATATGTTGTGCCTCAGATTAATGCTTGTATCAGATGTCAACTTTTTGGCCCACATTAACTGATCGATATTGATTAACTTAAATTAAGCCCAAATCCTTCTCAGATTTTTACCCTAACCCTAATCTAACTTAGGCCGGTTTTAATCTGATGCAAGAATTAATCTTCATTATATCAAGAATTATTTTCAAACTTAAGAAACATGGATGTTTCAGCACTAACATGGAAGGATTTTTGG